GAGACTAGCCTGGGTAACACAGTGTGGCCCATCTTCTACAAAAAAAAAGTTTAGCCCAGGCGCAGTGGCTCATGCCTGTAATTCCAGCACTTTGGGAGGGCAAGGCGGGTGGATCACCTGAGGTTGGTAGCTCGAGACCAGCCTGATCAACATGGAGAAACCAGGTCTCTACTAAATATACAAAATTAGCCGGGCATGGTGGCACATGCCTGTAATCCCAGCTACTTGGGAGGCTGAGGCAGGAAAATTGCTTGAATCCAGAGGTTGCAGTGAGTGAGTCAACATTGCGCCATTGCACTCCAGCCTGGGCAACAAGAATGAAACTGTTTCAAAAAAATAAATAAGGCCGGGCGCGGTGGCTCACACCTGTAATCCCAGCACTTTGGGAGGCCGAGGCGGGTGGATCACGAGGTCAAGAGATCGAGACCATCCTGGTCCACATGGTGAAACCCCATCTCTACTAAAAATACAAAGAATCAGCTGGGCATGGTGGCGCATGCCTGTAATTCAGGAGGCTGAGGCAGGAGAATTGCCTGAACCCAGGACGCGGAGGTTGCGGTGAGCCGAGATTGCGCCATTGCACTCCAGCCTGGGTTCAAGCAGTGAAACTCCGTCTCCCAAAAAAAAAAAAAAAAAAAAAGGGCCACGTGCAGTGGCTCACGCCTGTAATCCCAGCACTTTGGGAGGCCGAGGTGGGTGGATCACGAGGTCAGGAGTTTGAGATCCGCCTGGCCAGTATGGTGAAACCCCATCTCTATTAAAAGTACAAAAGAATTAGCCAGGCATGGTTGTACATGCCTGTAATCCCAGCTACTCAGGAGGCTGAGGCAGGAGAATTGTTTGAACCCGGAGGCAGAGGTTGCAGTGAGCCAAGATTGGGATGTTGGGCAACAGAGTCCTGCTCTGTCCCCAAGCACCAGCCTGGAGTGCAGTGGTGTGATCTCAGCTCACTGCAACCTCCGCCTCCCGGGTTCAAGTAATTCTCCTGCCTCAGCGTCCCGAGTAGCTGGGACTACAGGTGCATGCCACCACGCCCATCTAATTTTTGTATTTTTAGTAGAGATGGGGTTTCACCATGTTAGCCAGGATGGTCTTGATCTGTTGACCTTGTGATCCACCTGCCTCGGCCTCCCAAAGTGCTGGGATTACAGGCGTGAGCCACCAAGCCCAGCCTTTTTTTTTTTTTTTTTTAATTAGGGTGTAGTGGTGCACGTACACCTGTAGTATCAGCTACTTGGGGGGCTAAGTGGGGAGGGTTGCCCATGCTGATCTTGATCTTGCCTATACTGATCAAGTTGCCCATGCTGATCTTGAACTCCTGAGCTCAGGAGTTCAAGACTGCAGTGAGTCAAGATTGTGCCACTGCATTCCACCCTGGGTGACAGAGGGGCCCTAAATCCAATCATGAATGTCCTATTAGGAGAGAGACAGAGGCCAGGCACTGTGGCTCACAACTGTAATCCAGCAGTTTGAGAGGCTAAGGCAGGAGGATGGTTTGAACCTGGCAGGTCAAGGCTGCAGTGATCTGTGATGCTGACATTGCACCCCAGCCTGGGTGACAGTGAGACTCCGTCTTTAAAAAAAAAAAAAAAAAAGGCAGAAGGAGACGTGGTACACAGAGGCCACGTGACCATGGAGGCAGAAACTGGAATCGGCCCGTTCCCAAGTCAAGGAATGTTAACAGCCACCAGAAGCTGTCAGAGGGAAAAAACAGGTTTTCTACTAGGCAGTCAAGTCTTGATTTCAGCTCAGTGATAGTGATTTTGAATTTCCCAGAATTTGAGAGAATCAATTTAAGCCACCAGGGTTGTGGTAACTTGTGGCAGCCACAGGAAACAAATACAAGCAGGTACGATGCAAGTCCCTTTGTCACATCATGGTTGAATCACAACCACAGGCAGACTACAAATACAGTAATTCAGCAAAAAGAACTAAAACAGTTTTCTGTGAGAAAAGATTGGTTATATGGAATTTATGAGTGTATGTTTTAATAATTTATATGCTATACTTCACATCAGTACAGTTTATAACTTTATGCATTTATGACATCATATACCAGGTCTGTCTTCTATCTCCAGCACCGCGCAATCTCGGCTCACTGCAACCTCTGCCTCCCAGGTTCAAACGATTCTCCCATCTCAGCCTCCCGAGTTATCTGGGACTACAGGCATGCACCACTACACTCAGCTAATTTTTTTTTTTTTTTTTTTTTTTGAGACAGAGTTTCGCTCTTGTTACCCAGGCTGGAGTGCAATGGCATGATCTCGGCTCACCGCAACCTCCGCCTCCTGGGTTCAGGCAATTCTCCTGCCTCAGCCTCCTGAGTAGCTGGGATTACAGGCACGCGCCACCATGCCCAGCTAATTTTTTGTATTTTTAGTAGAGATGGGGTTTCACCATGTTGACCAGGATGGTCTCGATCTCTTGACCTCGTGATCCACCCGCCTCGGCCTCCCAAAGTGCTGGGATTACAGGCTTGAGCCACCGCGCCCGGCCGGTTAATTTTTGTATTATTAGTAGAGATGGGGTTTCACCATGTTGGCCAGGCTGCTCTCAAACTCCTGACTTCAAGTAATCTGCCCGCCTCGGCCTCCCAAAGAGCTGGGAATACAGGCATGAGCCACACCGCACCTAGCCGGACACTATTTTTTGAATGCATGAATGTGACCTTGGACCAGTCAACTTCTCTGGGCTGTTTCCCCTTCCACACAAAAGGGTTGGAGGAATGGGATGGGCTCCTAGTGCGGTGAGGGATGGTACAAGCTATTAGAGCACCTACTGTGAACAAGACTGGGCTGGGGGCAGGGGTTGACAGGACTCAGCACCTGGCCTGGGGCCCTAGGAGATGGCTAGGAACAGGCAGATTCAGAGTCAGATGTGGGGTTCTAGAGACTACTCAGAGGATTACGTTACAGAGATAGGGTGCCACTGTGCAGGTATAGAGATGGCAGGAACTGCTAGGGCCAAAGCCCCCTTCCTTAGCCCTCCCAACTCTCCATACTACAAGGGCCTTTTTCACCCAGGGGTTGGGAAGAGGATGAATCTTTTTTGAAATAGGGTCACCCAGGCTGGAGTGCAGTGGCACAATCTTGGCTCGCTACAGCCTTGACCTCCTGGGCTCAAGTGATCCTCCCACCTCAGCTTCCGAAGTAGTGAAGTAGCTGAGACTGCAGGTGCATACAACCATGGCTAATTTTCGTATTTTTTTGTAGAGAAAGGGTTTTGCCATGTTGCCCATGCTGGGACCACAGATGTGAGCCGAGTCTGACTTTTTAATGGCAACGAAAAAAGACACACACAGTTGGATGACATTCTGCAAATCACTTTCCCTCAGATCCAGTGTTTTCTTCTACAGGGATCCAAGGTCCACTCTGCCTAGCCCAGGGTCTACCCCTCCAGGCTCAACTAGCCACAAGACCACACTGAGACACTGGCCCTTCTCTCTTCATACCCTCACACTAGTTTTCAGACTAAGCCTGGGCCAGTTACTTGCCCCACACGGGAGTCTCTCTTTTCTGGTAAATAAGGAGGTAAGTAGCTTATCCAAGCTTCCACAGAAAGAATTTGGTCAAACAGACTGGCTCTGAGCACCAGAACAGAGTAAGAGATTCTAGGTGGAAGCCCTTTACCAGGCATAGGGAGCCAGATCTGAGGTCTGGAGAAACTAAAGCGCTCTGGGCCCCAGGCCTTACCCACTGAAAAACATCTGCTTCATGCCAGTACCTGTATTCCACACTCTATCATGAGCATCTATCATAATGAGGGACCAGAGTTTTGCTCACTATTGGGGTCCCAGTGTGGCCTGGTATACATTAGGAACTCAAGTTTTTTTTTGAGACAGTCTGGTTCTGTCGCCAGGCTGGAGTGCAGTGGGGTGTTCTCAGCTCACTGTAACCTCCGCCTCCCAGGCTCAAGCAATTCTCCTGCCTCAGCCTCCTGAGTAGCTGGGACTACAGGCACACGCCACCACGCTCAACTAATTTTTATATTTTAGTAGAGACGGGGTTTCACTGTGTTGGCCAGGATGGTCTTGATCTCTTGACCTCGTGATCCACCCACCTCTGCCTCCCAAAGTGCTGAGATTACAGGCGTGAGCCACTGCGCCTTGCAGAACTCAAGTATTTTTTTTTTTTTTTTGAGACAAGGTCTCACTGTTACCCAGGCTGGAGTGCAATGGCGCAATCTTGGCTCACTGAAACCTCTGCCTCCCAGGCTCAAGCAATTCTTTATTTTTTCTTTTTTTTAAAGATGAGGTTTCACCATGATTGCCAGACTGGTCTTGAACTCCTGATCTCAGGTGATCAACCCACCTCAGCCTCCCAAAGTGCTAGGATTACAGGCGTGAGCCACTGTGCCCGGCTTTTTTTTTTTCTTTTCAGGCTCAAGCAATTCTCTTCTCAGCCTCACAAGTAGCTGGGACCACAGGCGCACACCACTGCACCTGGCTAAATTTTTGTATTTTTAGCAGAAATGGGGTTTTGCCAAATTGCCCATGCTGATCTTGAACTCTTGAGCTCAGGTGATTCACCTGCCTTGGCCTCCCAAAGTGCTGAGATTATAGGTGTGAGCCACTGCGCCTGCCTAAGTATTTGTTTAACGAGCAAAATCACTTGCACATTTTATACAAAACCCAGGTTCTCCCTTGCCTTTATGCCTGCCATTTCCCCGTTCACCAGCACCAGCCTTTCAGTGATCGCCTCTGAAAGAGGGGCTTCCAGAATTCTGGAGGGTGTGGTCCCTGGGCACTTGGACATCATAGTCTATCAAGTTCATCCTCCTTGGAGTGGGAGAAAGAACAGTGGGCAGAGGGCAAATCCACCTTCAGCCACAAGCCCAAGGATGGGCATACAGGAGGCCCAGTGTCCATGACCAATTAACTCCTCTGGGCCGCTGGTGAGCAACCGACATCTGCCTCCCCAACCCCTGTTCCAAGTTAAGAAGTAAAGGGATTAAGGAAGCACCAAAGGCAAGTTCCCTCTTACAACAACATCAGACAACTGTTTCAAAATATATTAGATTTGGTTTTTATTGTAGAGCACACATATCAGGGCAAAGTGCTGCACACACGACTACAAATCATTTTTGGGAAAAAAGCTGTAAAAAAAATAAAACTGCAACTGCTTTAATTATGCAGTCCCGACTTGAGAAATCCACGCTGGCAAAGGAGTTCTGGCCCCTGAGAGGGGCTTCTTGATGGTGGCTGCCCCAGATTTCTGCAGCCTATGAGGTCTCAGGCCCGGACCTCTGTACACAAAGCCCCAAAGTGGTGGTAGCCTGGCTGCTGGGAGGGCCTCTGCTCTTGGCAAGCCCGGGTCCTGGCCTGGCTGACAAGAAGACATTCCTAATGAATCTAGATCCACAAAACCTTGCTGCCTTCCAGGATCTGAGTGGGTAAAAACTACCAAAGACTTTACGTTTTTTCTGATTATTGTTTTTTGAAAGCCCCTTCACCAACTCCCACGCCCTGAGGCGGAAGAGGCACCAGCCCAGTCTGCAGGCCTGAGCTCTGGCCTTAAATGCATGCTGCTGGCGGACAGAGCAGGCAGGCGCCTTCCTAGAAGGATGACATGAGGAGGAGGCCCAAGCTGGCCAATGGAGAAGGAAAGGGAAAGGAAGAAGCCAGGAGACCAAAGGGCGGAGGGGAACTCAAAACAAAACAAAAACCCTACCACACACCACAACAATTTTCCATACCCCAAATGCTAGACTTGGAAGGACACCAGTCCCTCTAGCTAGAAACAATTCCTAAAACTGACCCAACGTGGCAAGTCTAACTGTTCCAAATAATCACACATATATGCTCAAAAGGAGCAACCAGCAAAGAAGTGTGCTCTTGACAAGAGAGGTCAGGACCACTGCATTAGCCCCTCGGCAGCCCAAGGAAATGTGGACAGAGCAGGCTAGTGGGTGTGAGTGGAGGAAGCCTGGGGGGCTTAACAAATAGCTTTGGGATGTCAGGGGCTGGCACTGTTTAAGCCCCTGCCCAGGCAACCTGAACAACTCTGCCGCAGGAGGAAGAAAGGGTGTTTGCATGAGCTTGCAGGGTGTAGACGGCAGGTGAGAAGTGGAGAACAGCAGGCGCAATGTAGAGCCCGTAAGGCTCCAGACCTCAACCAAGTGCAGACATCAGTGGAGGAAAGGGGCGGGCAGAAGACTGAACTTTGTTTAGAACACTGCGAAGATTTACACTGAAAGCAAAAGAATTTTCTTAACCAAAACATTTCGATGCTTTTAAATAAACCCAGCCTGATACAGCCTCACTTAAAGATGGCTGCTCTGCTCCACCACCTCTACTGGCCACTCTAGCATCAGCCTCTGTCCCCTACAGATGCCAACAGCCTTTCCATCCAGGAGGAATACCAAGAATATGAGAACCTAGGTCCTGGCCAATTCTATTCTTCAGCCTTAACAGGCAACAAAACCAAGGAAAAATATATAGAATCAAAAAATAAAACAACCCCCCCAAAACAAAAACAAAACCCTCAAAACAAAAGGAGGGGCAACTACATAGGATTAGCCAGAGTTCCCAGGAGGGCGGCAGGTAGACCTCAGTGCCGCCGCATCTTCACCTTTCGGGCAGGGCTGCCTGCCGCCTCGGAGCAGTCCTCTGAGGACTCGTAGGACTTGCGCCAGTAGTTCTCAGAGCTGAAGCTACCCCTCCGCCGGTGTGTGGGCAGCAGCACTGAGCGCCGGTTCTCTTCCTTGTCCATCTCCAGGATCCGTGGCCTGCAACGAAAGGGAGGTAGGGCATTATCTGAGGCTAGCAGAAGGGGCCTGGCTTTACTGCTGTACTTGGTCTCATCCTTGGGATGGGTCATTCCAGCTCAGTGGTCTTCAATGAAGGGTAGTCCTGGCAGAGGCTCTGGTATTGGAGGTTCTTGCCCACTAACTGCCAGTGACCACCCCAGTCTTTGGGACATTTCCCAATTACCCTGTGGGATCTGCCTGGCTTGGAGTCTGGTGCCCCAGGACATTGCAAAGAGGTCCTGGACAGATGTCTTCCTTACAACAGCCTCAAGACCCTGCATGGTTCTGCAACCTACCTTTACTTCCCAACCCTACCTACTTTCTCTCTCATGGGCCTCCCAACACCCCCTTTTCTACTCACCAACCCCATGAAACCACAAAGCTCTTTTCTGTCTCAGGGTTTAGCCCATACAGTATTCCCTCCCTAGAATGCTCTTCCATGTGTTTCTTATCCTTCTGAAATTTACTTAAAGATTAACTCTTCAGAAACCTTCCCTAACACTTAAAAAAAATTTTTTTTTAATTATCTCCTCGCCGGGCGCGGTGGCTCACGCCTGTAATCCCAGCACTTTGGGAGGCCGAGGCGGGTGGATCACGAGGTCAAGAGATCGAGACCATCCTGGTCAACATGGTGAAACCCCGTCTCTACTAAAAATACAAAAAATTAGCTGGGCATGGTGGCACGTGCCTGTAATCCCAGCTACTCAGGAGGCTGAGGCAGGAGAATTGCCTGAACCCAGGAGGCGGAGGTTGCGGTGAGCCGAGACTGCGCCATTGCACTCCAGCCTGGGTAATGAGCGAAACTCCGTCTCAAAAAAAAAAAAAAAAAAAAAAAAAACTTTATCTCCTCAAATTCCTTTTATCCAACTCTTTTTGCAGTAAGTCCCTAGTTCACTATCATCCAAGTCCCAAGATTCCCTCCTGACATCCAAGTATAATCCTACAATGGCATCTGTCTGGGTGAGACTGGACAAGGAATATCATGGCAAAGCCATGATATTCCCATTTCTAACAGTCTCTGCCTGACCCCTTCTCTCTCGGAGTACAGGCAGTTGGCCAGGGTTAGGTGGGAATGTCACCAATGCCACCAACCCAGAGGAACCATTAAGCTTTTGAAAGGGTGAGCAAGCCAAGTCTCCTAAACAGCCTGCCCCAGGCTTCTCCACACATCTCACCCTGCAGCCAGGTCATGGGGCTGCTTTGCTGGCCTTTGCTGAGGGTCCTAAGCTGAGTACCTGTGGGCAGCATCAGGGTCTGCCTTGCGGTGGGACCGCTTGGGTTTCAGAGCAGGGTCCCTGTTGTTTCCTGACAGGCGATCTGAAGCATAGCTGGGTGGTAACACGGAGCTGCTCAGGGACTTTGTTTCCAACCGGGGTGCATCTAATCTCGTCCTGCAAAGGAAACATGCATGGGGTCATCAAAGGGCCTCTCTGGTTAAAGTGTGGGGAACCATCAAACCAATTCTCTGGCTAGACCAAGTGGGAGCCAGCTGGACCTGGAAGCCAGTTAGTCTCTACTCTGTACCTCAGTTTCCTTGAGGTTCAACTAGAGATTGTCTAATCGACTTTCAAAGACCCTCCTCAATTCCAATGTTTAGGAGTAAGGAATGGGAACATTTCTGTTTAGGGACTCCCAATGATAAGCTGTGCTACCCTAGGGGAAAGATCCCAAGGCTCGGTCTCAGCTAAACAAAGCAGCCTCCCCTTACTCCACTCGGACCCAAAGGTTCTCTGGGGCCATCTACTTCACTTGCCAGAGGACCAAGGGCCCCACTGGTAGGTCCCAACACAGGAAGGATCCCCGGTCCAGGCCTGTAGAGGGGCTGGAGAGAAAGAGAACTGAAGCTACCCTATCTTCAGACAGCTACAGACAGGGATGCTGAGACTGAGTGGCAGAGCCAGGGTGGGGAACCTAGGTCCACCACACAACCATAAACAGGTACCTGGCAGTTTCTGCTCATTCCAAGATGCTGACAAGGTAGAGGCCAGAGGGCTTTTGAAGGCACAGTCCCCACCCAGCACCAGGTACAAGGCTTCAAGGAATGCACTGCCTAGTAAAGGGAGGGCATACAAATACAGATGAGGAAGAGGATGATGGAGAAGCTGGGTAGAGATAACTCAGGGCAGTGATCCAAGTCCTTCATGAAGCCAGACCAAAAGGGAGCTGAGCCTGGAAAACCTCAAAGAAGCCCTTAGGCTCCCTGTGTGGTACACAGAAGGCTGGCAAGTGAGGCAGGTGGGAGCAAAGGGCAGGAGAAGGACCCATGTAATAGACTGGGTGGGAAGTGATGGGCCACAACTAGCAGAGGCCCTGAAGATATCTTTTTCAGGGTCTCCTAGACACAAAGTAGTAACTTAGTTCTGAAACAGGGGCTGTGGTCAGGGCAGGACTCTAAGGATACTACTCAAAAGGATCCTGGGGGAAAGTGAACAGGAGGGAAATCCAAGAATTGCCTTGGGCTAAGCTGCTTGACATCCTTGGTAACAACTGCATCTGGTCCTCACAGTTCCCCCCACTCCTCATGGCTGCCTCCCCACCTTCTACTGGCTGGCCTGCCATACACAGATGGGAAGGATCAGAAAGGCAGTAAGTCATGCATCCTGCAAGTCTCAGGGAAAAGTTTAAAGCCAAAGTGAGACTTAAAGCCTGACAGGCAATAGTTACTCCGAACCTGGGCAGGATATCCCTCTCCTAAAGGAAGCAGGGGCATCTCCTTCCTTCTAGCTGGGAACCAACGTTCGGATGCCTTAGGCCCAAACTCATGGTTGGGCAGGTAGGACAGGCATCCCTATCCCTTTGCTTTGGCCTTGTCGAGGGGGATGCCAGAAGGCCCAGCTGCAGCAAGTGGCCCTCTAGTTTCAGGCTCCACTATGGACTGCTCCAGACTCATGGATGCAGAACCTAGCACCAAGAGGAGGCAGATCTAGTCTTGGCACTACTACTCAGAGTCCAGGGTAGTCACAATCCTTCCTCAGGACTCAGTTTCCTCATACAAGCAAAGGACAGAAATGGGACTGGCTCTGTCTTCTTTCAGCTGAGAGTCTAAGGAATTGAAGGCAAGTTGCCTCCTTCAAGGCTGGAATTCTCTGGGTAGAGGTGGTACTGGGCAACTATCAAAGATGAGGATGTGAAATAGAATTGCTCTTTCAAAAAAAAAAAAAAAAAAAAAAAAAAGAGTGTTTTGCTTTGTCACCCAGTCTGGAGGACAGTGGTATGATCACAACTACAACTCACTGCAGCCTTGAACTCTTAGGCTCAAGGGATCCTACTGCCCAAGCTTCGCAAGAAGCTGGGACTACAGACATGGGCCACCATGCCGGGCTAATGGTTTTTGTTTTTTGGAGAGACAGGGTACCACTATTTTGCCTAGACTGGTCTCTAACTCCTCCAAGCGATCCTCCCACCTCACGCTCCCAAAGTGTTGAGATTACAGGTATGAACCACGAAGCCCAGCTCCTGATGAGCTTTTTATTTTCATTTTTTTTTTTGAGAGAGGGGCTCATTCTGTCGCCTAGGCTGGAGTGCAGCGGCATGATCTTGGCTCACTGCGGCTTCAAGAGATACTCCCATCTCAGTCTCCTGAGTAGCTGAGATTACATGTACATGCTGCCACACTCAGCTAATTTTTATATTTTCAGTAGAGACAGCATTTCACCATGTTGGCCAGGTTGGTCTCTAACACTTGGGCTCAAGTGATCTGCCCACTCCAGCCTCTCTCAAAGTGCTAGGTTTATGGGCATGAGCCATCACGCCTGGTCCAATAACCTTTACTTTACCAGGCCTTGTGCCACCAAGTTGAGAGATCCAGGTGGCAGAGATAAGGCTAAATAAAATGTTAGTCGTGCTTGACTTAAAGGACTCTAAGGGCCTCACTGAAGAAAGTCTCTCCTCTGGTACCCATAAAGCTAAGACCCTATAGGTGCAAGGTACCCCATGTTTAGGGCAGGAAGGCCCCTGTGTGCCCCAAAAGCCCCAGTGAAGCCCTGATGGGGGCACTCTGGAGTTGTTTCTTCGGATGAATAATGGATGGTAAGAAAAAAGCAGAGCCACCAAGATGAGAGCTCTTGACACATCCCCTGGGATGTTACAAGTACATCTCATAACAGCTGGAGAATATCCTGCCCTCCCTATACTTCTAAAAACTCACTAAGCTGCAAGATGCCAGGCTAGAGCTTAACTCCAAGCCCAGTGACCACCAGTACCTTAACTTCAGAAGATATCCCCGTTAAAAGGCAACCAACTCCCATGGCGCAGGCCAGGTCCTCCGGGTTTAGCAGAGAGCACCACAAATTTGGATTCAGGAAGCCCAGTTCTAGTGGTAAGGTCTGGACCCAGGCCTTCTAAGGTAGCAACAGGAATGAAGACCTGCCTTACAGATCAGTCAGTATTCAAAGGTCAGAGCAAGGCACCTCAGACATGTGAGGTGAGGGTTGACCATGATACCCAGAGAGGTCACCCACAGTGTCAGAACAAAGCAGAGACAAGGGAGGTCACAACAAAGGATGGCTGTAGCACTAATATGTGAACCAAAGGGAAGGGAGGGAGTTGATCCTATCCTACGTCCTTGAAAAAAGCTGCTGGGGTGAATTACTCCCCCTGTAGGGGTTGGAGAGCAAAGCTAAATCCTAGAGCAAGTCACTGGCTTGAGTCATAAAGCTACTACCTATTGATGGTTTCTGGGGCCAGGCACAGTAGCTCACACCTGTAATCCCAGCACTTTGGGAGGCCAAGGTAGAATTACTTGAAGTAGGAGTTTCAGACCAGCCTGGGAAACAAAGCAAGAACCTGTGTCTACTTAAAAAAAATAAATAAATATATTTTTAATTAAAAAATAAAGTGCAGGTGGGCCCTCCTCAGTGCAGACGAGCACTGTGCAGGTGGTAGCACCACTATTTCTGGGAAGATGGAAAACCAGCCTGCACTCAGGCCACAATGACCCTCGAGTGAGGGCAGTCCGAAGTCCACTACCAACTACTCTCCAACTTCTGGCTCCACCTTCACCAAGCACCCTTGTGCTAAACGCCTGGCTTTCCAATAAAGCGAGGAGGCAGACAGAGACCAATGTTGTGGGCCTATCCAAGCACCCTCTGGCCAAATTAGTAACCTGGGCCCCTAGGGCTAACATCTAAGCTTCAGCACCTTCGAGTATCAGACTCCCAGAAAGCTCAGGCCTGTACCTCACTGGCTCTCCTGCAATAGTACCCATTCTCCTCATGAGACTCTCCTGATCCATCTTCCACCAGCCTCCTGCCAACATCAGGTTTCTCTTTAACCCCTACCCTGCTCTCTCCACAGAGCGGTTCTGAAAGGTGTTAACAGCTTGCTATGACCAGAAGAGCCTAAAAGCACATGAAGTATATTACCTAAAGAGGAGGAGCCCCATGTACACGCTCCTGGGCTCCCAGAAGATCTCACCCATACACAGGCCAGCAAGATCTGTATAAGGTGTCCAGGCCCCAAGTGGAGCATTTCTAAATCATTCAGACTAGTTACTACAAAGTCATAACTTCAGTGCATACCCGCCGAGGTCCAGGAGCCAGGGCTCCATGCCAGCCCAACAAGAGGACTAGTATCACATCTCCCCAGCTTAGGCCTGGAAAGGTACCAATGTCCTCATCCCGTCTTGGAGGCCAGACACCAAGTTTGCTTTCCCCTACCTGGGTCACTGAACACCACACCTCTGGGTTTCCCTTCCCTCCTACTGCATGTGCTTCTGCTGACAATACACCTCCACTGAGCACAGCCTTCCTCATCCTCTACTGTCAAGATCAGAGAAGAGGTATGGTGAGGAAGAAGGTAGGTATGGGGAGAAAAAGAGAAGGTATGATGAGGAAGAGGCTAGGAGAAGCCCACCCAGTATTCACAAGTTTAACCACAACTTTATTTATTTATTTATTATTATTATTTTTTTTTTGAGACGGAGTTTCGCTCTTGTTACCCAGGCTGGAGTGCAATGGCGCGATCTCGGCTCACTGCAACCTCCGCCTCCTGGGTTCAGGCAATTCTCCTGCCTCAGCCTCCTGAGTAGCTGGGATTACAGGCACGTGCCACCATGCCCAGCTAATTTTTTGTATTTTTAGTAGAGACGGGGTTTCACCATGTTGACCAGGATGGTCTCGATCTCTTGACCTCGTGATCCAGCCGCCTCGGCCTCCCAAAGTGCTGGGATTACAGGCTTGAGCCACCGCGCCCGGCCCCCTATTATTATTATTATTATTATTATTATTTTTTGAGTCGGAGTTTCGCTCTTGTTGCCCAGGCTGGAGTGCAATGGCGCAATCTCAGCTCACCGCAACCTCCGCCTCCTGGGTTCAGGCAATTCTCCTGCCTCAGCCTCCTGAGTAGCTGGGATTACAGGCACACGCCACCATGCCCAGCTAATTTTTTGTAT